ACCCAGGTTCTGTTAATGAGCAGAACCTCCACAGAACCCAGGTTCTGTTAGTGAGCAGAACCTCCACAGAACACACAGGTTCTGTTAATGAGCAGAACCTCTGCAGAACCCAGGTTCTGTTAGAGAACACTTTCTCAGAAAAATCTTTTAAACTTTAAAAATCTGCACCATGAAGTTCTAAAACATCTGGTTGATCAGAATCACATGCGGTTCTGTTCGGCTCGGTTCTGTTAGGTGTGGAGCTGCAGGCCTTGTGTCGCAGTAAACCGAACTCTGACCCAGATCTCAGGCCCTTCTCGTGAACCCGTCCTCGGACAGAACACCTGCCGGTTCGGGGGGCTCACCTGGCTGGCTTTATGGAACTGCTTCTTCATCCCGGAGACAGACATGTTCGGACCCGGTACCGACGGTCCGGATCAGATTCTAGTGTGGCCCCGCAGGGAGTCTGACCGGAAGCAGGACCGGAAACTGAGACCGGAAACAGCTGAATGAATAAAAGCAGAAAAATGTCTCTGATTTATGAGTAAAATGTTCCGACCCGCAGGGAATTATGTTCATTTTTATATAATTAGAAAGTTTTCATTATAAGAATTTTAATTCATTCTGTTTATAAAATGTTAGAAGATATTTTAAATGAATGGTTTTAAGTCATTTAAATTAGTTTTAACTAAATTCTTTATTCTAAGCTTTTTGTTTGTTATAATAAATGTTAATTAATCCATCAATACTGGTTATATTTACCTCATTAGTTTTTAAATGTTTATATTTTTCATTCATATTTATTTGTCTTATTTTTCGGGTCTTTTCCTGTCTGTTTACAGTGAGTCAGGACTACATTTCCCATCAGGCTTAGCGGAAACTTTCCCGCGTCACGTGCCAACATGGCTGCCGGCGTCTATGGGCAAGATTTCTCCAACCTGGAGCTTCTTCTAAAGGTTTTTAACCGTTTATTTTTAAACCCGCTGATTAAAAATTAGATTTAATGTTTTATTAGAAACTGATCAATAAAATAAAACCGATAAAATATAAATAAATCTGATTTGTTTGTTTAAATCAGCTGTAATCAGTCGGTGTGTTTTTTATGTGAAACTCAGGTTTTAGCTAAATGTGCTTTTTATAAGCTGCTATTTAGTTTAGTTCACTTAATTATTCACAACATTTTCAGGATATCTGCAGGACATCTGTGTTGTAGTTTGTTTGTTTGTTTGTTTGTTTGTTTGTTGACTGTAGCTGGTTCTTGTCTGCAGGCTCCGTCCAAAGATGCAGTGAGAGACGTTTGTGTCCAGAGTCACAGAGACGCTTCCAGTCGTTGGCTGATAGAAAATACTGCAGCTACTTTCAGCATATCTGCAGCTGAGGCTGCTCAGGTAACTCACACACCTGTCATGTCTCACACCTGTCATGTCTCACACCTGTCATGTCCCACACCTGTCTAAACCTGTCATGTCCCACACCTATCCCACACCTGTCATGTCCCACACCTGTCCCACACCTGTCATGTCCCACACCTGTCATGTCCCACACCTGTCTAAACCTGTCATGTCCCACACCTATCCCACACCTGTCATGTCCCACACCTATCCCACACCTGTCATGTCCCACACCTGTCCCACACCTGTCATGTCCCACACCTGTCCCACACCTGTCATGTCCCACACCTGTCATGTCCCACACCTATCCCACACCTGTCATGTCCCACACCTGTCATGTCTCACACCTGTCATGTCCCACACCTGTCATGTCCCACACCTGTCCCACGCCTGTCTCACACCTGTCCCACACCTGTCCCACACCTGTCATGTCTCACACCTGTCTCACACCTGTCATGTCCCACACCTGTCATGTCCCACACCTGTCATGTCCCACACCTGTCATGTCTCACACCTGTCATGTCCCACACCTGTCATGTCCCACACCTGTCATGTCCCACACCTGTCTAAACCTGTCATGTCCCACACCTGTCCCACACCTGTCATGTTCCACACCTGTCATGTCCCACACCTATCCCACACCTGTCATGTCCCACACCTGTCTAAACCTGTCATGTTCCACACCTGTCATGTCCCACACCTGTCTAAACCTGTCATGTCCCACAGCTGTCATGTCCCACACCTGTCATGTCCCACACCTGTCATGTCTCACACCTGTCATGTCCCACACCTGTCTCACACCTGTCATGTCCCACACCTGTCATGTCTCACACCTGTCATGTCCCACACCTGTCATGTCTCACACCTGTCATGTCTCACACCTGTCATGTCCCACACCTGTCATGTCTCACACCTGTCATGTCTCACACCTGTCATGTCTCACACCTGTCATGTCTCACACCTGTCATGTCTCACACCTGTCTCACACCTGTCATGTCTCACACCTGTCCCACACCTGTCCCATCTCATGACTCTGTCCCTCAGCTGGTGCGGTCCCTCCACCTGCTGTCACATCACGTGGTGTTCCAGAACCTGACGTCCCCGGAGCAGATCCTGGCCGTCTTCCCTGAGTCCTTTCACTCCAGTCTGAAGAACCTGATCACTAAGATCCTGCTGAAGACCAGGTCAGTGTTTACAGGACCGGCTCATGTTTCTCTCTCACTTTGTAAAATCACTTCCATCCTGTTTAATTGATGACCTCGTTAACTTCAGTTGTTGATGACATCATCAGGTGTTGTGGGACATGATACCATGGTCACGTGTCCTTTGCTCTTTTTCAGTCCAGCCTGGAGGACAGAAGCTCTCAGTAATCAAAGTGAGTCTGAGGTTTACTGTCAGGTTCTGGTTCTGGTCCGGTTCTGTCGGGCCTGTTGGCTGGACGCTCAGTGAAAAGTGTTCTGATCCAACCTTCAAGTGTTTCAGTCTAGAACTCTGTGAGCTTCTGACCCGGTGTTTGTGTGTGCAGTCTCCCTCCCTCAGCTGAAGGACCTGAACTGGAGAGTGGACCTGGTGTCCGGCTCGGACTCGCTCAGCCGGGTGGCGGTGCCGACCTGCTTGGTTCAGCTGAAGGTAAGAACCAGAACCTCGGGGTACAAAGACTCGTGTGGGTTTTTCTCATTGAGAACAGGATCGATGAACCGGGTCGAGCTTCTTCCTGTCAGTTGACCCGTCTGTTTTCAGGTGGAGGATCCGTGTCCACCAGCAGGAGGGGACCCGGTGTCCACGGTGACCGTGGAGCTGAGCAGGGAGTCTTTGGACACGATGCTGGACGGTCTGGGACGGATCAGAGACCAGCTGTCCGTGGTGGCCGGGAAGTGAGACGGTCTGCAGATGTGGACCCGTGACAGCAGCTGGTTCCAACTCTGCAGAACAGGAAGAACTTCCTGGAGCATTGTTGTAATTATTGAGAGGTTTTGTTTGTATAAGTGTTGTCTTTTATTCGTAAAATTGTTTTGTTTTCATTTCTACTAAATAAAAATCATCTAATAAAGTATTTCAGCAGAACCAGTTAGTTTTATTTACATGAAGGTTCACCCTCAACAGACCAGCAGCTTTTATTTTGAAAGGCTCCTCTGCAGAAAATTACAAGTACATTGTTATTAACCTATCCTCACCTAAAGTTATTTAACTAAACAATGGTTTGAAATTTATAAGTCTGTGTAAACACACATAAGGTATTACAATCATACTATGGTTTATTATCATTAAATTAGTCAAAAAATTGGAGCTCGGATTTGGAAAACTATCACTTTTGGGGATTTATGATAAACTTTAAGTGAAAGAATAATTTCTGTTCCCTATGGAATTATCTATAAAATCTGAAAGTCTAATTATTCAGATGTTTCCACTGGTGGTTCAGGGTGCACTGTGTCAAAACATACTGTAACATGTCTACAGCAGTAAAACCAGAGTTGTAAAGTAACTAAGTACAAATACTTTGTTACTGTACTTAAGTAGATTTTTTTGATTATCTGTACTTTACTTGAGTAATTATTTTTCAGCGTACTTTTTACTTCTACTCATTACTTTTTTACACAATTATCTGTACTTTCTACTCACTACATTTTTTAAAAAGGTAAGAAGTATAAAGTTGTTACTCCTGTTTTATTCAGAGTTATTACTTTAAAAATCCTCTCCTGATAAACTGTGTCTCCTATAGAGTGAATTTAATTGTGTTTGGATGAGAAGTATAAATATATACCATTCTGACACACTATTAGCTTGTACACAACCCATCACAGCTGCACGCTGTTAGAAAATATAGTTTTTGGAGAAGTCACCTCCCAATAAATGTCATTTTGTAAAATCTAACTGCTCACTTTTACTCAGTACTTTTACTTTTAATACTTAAGTAGATTTTGTGTCAGAGATTTACTTTTGATACTTAAGTACAAAACATATCAGATACTTTAAGACTTTTGCTCAAGTAATATTTTTAGAGAAGACTTTAACTTTTACCAAAGTATTTTTATGATAAGATACTTGTACTTTTACTSAAGTAATATTTTTAGAGAAGACTTTAACTTTTACCAAAGTATTTTTATGATAAGATACTTGTACTTTTACTCAAGTGTCACTTTGAGGTACTTTATACAACAATGAGAAAAACTAAAAAAAGAGTTCACAGTTCAGAAATGAGTTTAATAATAATTTATAACTGAATATTATTAATAGATTTTTAATTTGTAAGATAATGCAGGTTCCAGGTTGTTTTTCCTGCAGGAGCTGGTCCACAGCATCTTCTCGTACACGCGCGCCGTAAACAGTTCCCAGGACGTGCGCGTTCCCGCGACCCGAGAGCGGGAAGTCGGCGCCATCTTTTTCCCTTAACCTTAACTTCACTGTTTTTCTCTTCAGGAATTCGTAAATTTCAACAGGAAGGTAAGAAACAAATAAAAAAATAACAAGAAACACAACTCACGATTATAAGACGAAGAGGTTTATACCTTTACAGTTTATAATCTTGAGATGTGTTTCTCTTTCAGCTTCGAGCTAAATCATTTAGCGTCGGAGGCTAATGTTAGCATCAACTCGATTTTTGTATCTTACAGGTAAAAGCAGGTTTGAGAAATGGCAACAGGTAGAAAACAGATGAAGAAGAAACACCTGGAGGAAAAAACGGATAAAAAAGTGTTTGAGTTTACTGAAGAAGATGAGAAAAAGGAGCTGAGTGGGTCAGAGGACGAGGTCAGAGAAGGTATGCTAGCTAAGCTAACTACACAGGTGAATAAGCTCACTATAAGCTAACTATGCTAACTGCAGGTTTATTTCTTTATTTTTATATACAATCAACTTCACAAAGGTACCATAACGTAGACATTGTGTATTCACAACATACAAAAAAAGGAAAAGAAAACATAATGAACAACAGGCAAGCTAAGCTAACTACAGGCTGAAGTGGGGTTCTGACAGGAAAGTAAATCAATTTAAATTTATTTTCTGCTTTTTTTTAAACTTAACTTTTTACTTCTAACCCAATTCTAAGTACAGCTGAACGACTCTGTTGATTGTATCTTAGGTTACAAACCTTTGTAACACTATAGTTTATCTGTAACAGGTTAAGTCTAACTTTTAATTAATTTAAATATCTGAAGATGAAACTCCAATCGTGAACAAAGTGGCGAAGAAGAGACCTGCAGCTGAGTTTGAGGAGGAGGGCATCACCTGTGCAGTGGGGTATGTGTCACTCTTTCATCATGAAACATCACAGCTATTTTGTTTAAATGTTCAAAGAAAACGACTAAACAAATACTTAAGGAAATACAGTCAAATTATAATAGTTGTGAGAAAGCCAGTAATAATTTTGATGTATTTCTTTTCTGTTTTCACTGATTCAGAAACGAGGTTCACTCCATGTTGGAGAAATTTGGGGGTAAGCAGTTTTAAAATGTGCTCTTATGTTTCACACTGATCAAATAACATTTAAACATTATTTGTGTTTGTATTCGGTGTGTTTCTCTGTCAGCCTGCAGCCTATATGTTACAAGTGGATTTATAGTTTTATTTGGTGTTTAAAGCCCGTCTACTGGTTTGTTCCAGCTGACATCAGCAAGGTGATGCAGGCCAAGAAGAAGCGCCTGGAGTCTCTGACAAAAACCTACATGAAGGGAAGTCAGCACAAACTGGAGCAGCTGTGGAACAACTATCAAGGACAACGGTAGGTTCAGGAGATCTCACAGAACAAACGTTAAAACCAGGAGCTCAGAGAAGGTCAGACGTGTGTTGGATGTGTGTGTGTGTGTGCAGGAAGAAGATGACTCAGCAGTATTCTCAGCAGGTTTCCTCAGCGCTGCAGCAGTGGGAGACTGAAGCCCAAAGAGCCGAGGAGCAGGAGGAGAAGCTCAACGTCAGTTTACTCCTCTGGTTGTTTGATTTGAAAGTTCCTGCTGCACAGAGCAGCTCCTCTGAGTTGATCATACAGATGATCCTGCGTCCCGCCACACCACCTAACTTTTCTACAGCGAGAGGGGGAAATGTTGAGGATTTATTCTCTCTATACGTGTGTTAAAACTTTATAATTTCTTCATTTTATTTTGAACTCCTCCTGCTCAGGTGTGTCTGCACTCACAGCCCTGTGGACACAGGTGTGATGATGTAACTGATGACAGGACAGTAGAGGGAACATTTCTGCTGTAGACCAACTTCATATCATTTCTACTGTCTATCACATATACTGCTCAGCCCTACAATATAAACAAAACTAATAACTATAATATTAATTTAATTCGTTTATGATTATTATTGTTTTAAATTACAATAATCATGGTGAAAACATCTCATTAGATAAGTTTTTGTATTTAAATTAATGTCTAGAAATCATCTGGGGACCCTCACTTGATGTTTTGTGACCCACAAAAGGGTCCCAACCCCAACTTTGGGAACCACTGCTCTAGCAGCTAAAACTTTGAGTCAGTTACTTTCAGAGCCCAGAGATGACCCGGAACAGAAAGCCCAGAGAACCATGTGTGGTGTGGGTCCCACTGAGCTCCAGTGTTAGGAGGATTTAGAAACGTGGAAAAACACACAGATGTGATTCAACACAGTGTGACTTTGTGGACGTTTTCAGAGAAATAAACGTTTGTTTTACTCCTCCTGTTGGCAGAATCTGTTCCGACAGCAGCAGAAGATCCTGCAGCAGGCCCGCGTGGTTCAGAACCAGAAACTGAAAACTGTCAAGGAGCTGTACGAGCAGTTTGTGAAGGTGGGAAACCAAAACTCTTCAAAATAAAAACTTGTTAGATGAGTTCAGATGACAGGAAGTGTAGTCCTCTGTGTTTTTAAATGAGTAGTTCCATCCAGAGGTGGTGGATGTAAACGTCCTGCTGGACTGAAGGTCCTGCTTGTGTCTCTGCAGAACACGGAGGACCTGGAGAAGAACCACGAGACGTTCCTGCAGGGGGCGCAGCAGGAGCTGAGGAAGGAGATGGCCGCCCTGCAGAAGAAGATCCTGATGGACACGGTGCGTTCAGGCCCACTTTTCACGCTTCTGACAGGAAATCATTGGCTTAAAACCTGACGTTGTGTTGTTGTTGTCTGTTTCCATAGCAACAGCAGGAGATGACCACAGTCCGCAAGTCCCTGCAGTCCATTCTTTTCTAACCTGCTGTCACCACAGAGACAGTTCCAGATGTTCCTGATGTTTGTTTTAGAAACATTTTAAGAGTTCATCTTCATGCTTCTTTATTTTGATAAAAGCAAATTATTTTGTAGGTGTTTTATGTCAGTTTGGTTCAGTTAAATTCAAAATAAACAAGTTGTTTGTACACGTTTTTGTCTTTTGTTGTTTACTGGGTGAACAGCTGGTTTAAAAAACGTTTCAACCTTCATGTAATTATTACTATTTTTTACTTGTACAAATTTTAATTAAATCCGAACTTGCTCTGATAAAAGCAAAGATAAGTTAAAGGAAAATGGTTTTAAATAAAGAAAAACAGCTGAATAAGTTCATGAAGTAAAGAGAGTGATCTGGGAGCTTCTGAAAACCAAAACTGATAAAATATTTATTATTTTTACATGAATTATACACAAAAGCTGTTTTTCCCAGCAAAACACTGGTTTTGTAAATAAAAACAAAAATAAAATTATAAATTATGTCACTGTTTCAGCTCTATTTTCTGTCAGACTTCATTAAAAAACAGCTTTATAAATGAGGCGATAAATAATTCAAATGATAATTTTTAGATTTTAAATTTAATCCGAATGAATTTACATTATTTGTCTTTACAAACAAATATAAGATTCAGCATGAACAAATAATGAATAAAATAGACTAATTGTTTTTTATAAATGTGATGTGAACAAAAATGTTCGGGACATTTCTGGATGACGTCACAAGTTTATCTTATTTTGAAAGGGAAGTGTCGGTACTTTTTCTGAAAAAAACCGGAAGTTTTGTGTTTATTGTGAAAGGATTCTTGAGCAGCAGGTCAACATGAGAGTGTCCGTTAACAAACCAAGAAAAGGCTGAAGTTTGAAGGTAAACCTGTTTTATTTCGCGGTTATATTTTCAGTGAACAAGAACGAGCCGGTTTTATTTACTCAACGTGTTTTTCTGTCGTGTTTGTGTTTCAGAGGCTAACTTAGTTAGCATGTTTGCTAACTGAGCTAACTCACCGGAGCCGGTTCTTGTGGGTTCGGACTCCGTTTAAAACTAAACTTTCTTCAATGGACTAAGATGCTAATTCGGGTTCAATTAAGCTCAGATTCAGTTAGCTGATTCTGTCTGTTCAAATGGGCCGTTCTTCATCATCTTCATCATCATCATGTTGATTTGAGTCCGGATCAGGACTTTCTAATCCGTTTTTGGGACCAGGTATCCGTTCAGGAGGAGGCCATGGCTGACGGGATCACTTCCAGTCCCTGTTCGTCAGAACCGGACAGTCCAATAGGTCTGAACCGAGGATGCTTGCTGAGGCCTGGAGAAGATCAGGACCTGGACCAGGACCTGACCTGGCTCGTCCCGGAAACCCCCAGGTACTGATGTTTCACTTTCACACACCTGTGGACAGGTGCAGAGGTGTTTCAGTCTCACACACGGATACATTGGGATCAGTTGTTTCATGTTCGGACTGATGTTTGTTTGTTTGTTTGTTTGTTTGTTTGTTTGTTTGTTTGTTTGTTTGTTTGTTTGTTTTTCAGCCCTCAGCTCAGGACGCGGAGGAGACGTTGTAACATGGAGACACGCAGCAGCTCTGTGAGTTTCTGTGGTCATGATAACAAATGTTCGATGATTAATTGTCTCAGAAATGATTGCGATGAACGTGGTGACCATTTTAATATGACGACAACAGAGTAATAATGTAAGTACCTCCTCAAAGATCAATAAACTTTAATTTTTAAAAGAATGTTTAACAAAGTGGACTCTCAGTCTCTAACAACAAATGAACTTGAGTAAAAAAAAAACAAAGAACAACTAAATGTAAATTAAACACCACACACACCTGAAACAGTAAATAAACAAAGAGCAGCATGTCTTTAGAGACGTCTGTGAGTGTGTCCCACTTTGTGCTTCTCTTTTTGTGCGTCGCTCATCGGTTGAAGTCTCTGGTCATTGTGGACTGTCGAAGGCTGAGACGACTCGTCACTTTTAGTTTTTTCCCCAGCAGAGAAAACTGCATCGGATGATTATAATTTAGGTGCAGATGCAAGTTTGTGCTATTTTTAGTTGCTATTTTTTTTTACAACAAATCTGACACATCGGCTCGTACAGGTTAGTGTTTCACCACAGCCGTTGGGTTAGAGTCCAAGTGTCCCACACTGCAGCTGTCGTGTTCGGCTTTGAAACCAACTCCACTTTTCAGAATCCCAACAACGTTTCTTTAGGCCCTGTTTACATGAGACCAGTCTGTAAATGCTCATGTTTACTGGGACAAATATACAAAAATAATCACCTGTTTACATGGAACTGCTGCAGTAATGTAGCAGGCAGGGTTGCCAAATGGGATATAATAATGTGTTTTTGGTGTTCCTTTAAAAAAGAGAGATATGTTGTGTATATATCTGACTCAGTCAGTCATATACGCTGAGTGACAGTGTTGTGAGATAAGATGTGTTGTGTTTGGTGAAAATATGCACGGGAAAATAGCTGCAAATTTTTTTGTTTGTTTTTATTTGTCAACCCTGACGTGGCTCTCGCTCATGCTCTGATTGTGCAGCAGCTTCATGATCACAGAACGTCTGAACCTGGGGAACAAACTAAAGTTCGACTGGAACTGGGATTATTTTTGTGTTTTTCCTAAAAGCTACAAAGTGAAACAGAAAAACACTCTGCTGTCGGCTGTTTGAGCATGCGCACTTTCACAGCTGCGGGGGGGGGCTTCTCACCTCCACGGGGGTGGGGTGTTACTGAAAAGTTCCACAGAAAACAGGAGAGGGAGGGGTCAGTCGAGCACAGAGGGAGAGACGAAACTAAACAAAATGATCGTCCTCATTTTTTTATCGATCTCAGAATAATTTATCACGTGATTAATTGATTTATTGACTATTGTGACAGGCCTAAAGCTGGAAACATACTCCCTCCTTGTGACTAAAACAAGCAACCATCTCTATGAAAACAAGCCCAAAATAAGCCCAACTGGCAAAATGGAGGTCAACTATAACAGTATTGTGTAAACGTTTACATTTATTATTGCATTACACAAAAGCAACAGCAAAATTATGATAAAAATTACCATAAAAATGAACTGTAATGGTTTGAATAATTTAAATTATTTTACTAACCTATACTTTTAAACTCTGATCATAAGAAAAGTGTATTTTGCAGCAAAAAGACAACAAAAACTCCCAAAAATCTTTGTGCGCTCTTTTTTCCCTCACTCATATTTTCCTGACTTACTGCAGCTCGTTCTCACTCTGTTTTTGTCACTTTTATATCCAGATGTGAAGTTTTTTGCTGATATGTCAAAAAATTGGCTCTGGCTCATATTGTTCTCTCAACTCAATTCATGCAATTTAATCAGCAAATTCCAAACAAATCAATATTTACTGTATTGTACTGTCTGTGCACCACCTGTGTAAAATGTCCCAGTCTGTTAAATCGAGCGCACCAGTCCTCACTGTGTTTTAGAAGATTTGTTCCCTGAATCATTCAGTTCATTTAATGCATGTAATATATTAATAACAATAACACTAATAATTATTATATTAATTATAGTCACAGAGGGGATAATATGTTGATGTACATATTGCTATTTTATTTTTATTTTTTTACTTTAATCTCCTCAGAACAGACCAGCCCTACACACGTACCCCCCCCCCACACACACACACACCTGTGCAGCTCACTCGCTCTCGTCACTTTTTCTCTCCTCCTCAGTCTGTTAAAATAAATGCAGCATGTGTTCATTTGTTTCCATGTGTCTTCACTCAAATAATATCCATTAGCTTAGAGAAACTAGTTTCCTCCAAGTTACTGTCTCTTTAAGAGTGAGAGTCACACAAGCACAGTGATCTGACACGGTGCCACTACGGTTCGTTCAGACTCAGTCAGGCAGTCGAGTGACTCAGTAGCTGTGTTTCCATTGACCATGAAAATGCGCAAATTAGAATTTCAAAAATAAATTTGCTCAATTGAAACACGTCAATTTTGGGGGGAAAATGACGTTTTTCAACAAAATGTTTTTGCACTAGGATGAGGTGGTTTTTCAGTCGTATCGAAATTGGCGTTTTTGGCAAAACTGCAATGGAAACGCTTTTTTCACATCACAGGAGTCACGTGATCAACAACCGGCTGTTTCTACTGGTGAAAAAGACGATGATGAAGAAGATAACAGGAAGTAGAAGTAGTAGTAATATCACAGAAGTAGTAAAAGAAAGTAGTAAACTCATCGACTACAATTTCACAAAAACACTGCATACATAGCCGCTCTCAGGTATGACAGGCTTGTCTCTGGAAAGATGGAAGATGGAAGGATGAGCGCTAGTGTCGTGGTAGCAACATGCTATGTGTTTACATCCATCGCTGCCATGTTTGTAATGACTTATCATGAGAACAAACGTATTCACATGACTTTAAGAACATTTCTTACTTAATGGAAACACTGCAGTTGTGAAACTGTGTTTTTTTACATTAACAGAATATCAAAGTTTTGTGCACATTTGCAATGGAAACCCAGCTACTGTGTGTTTCTGGACCTCAGGTGGCGCCGGCCGGCTCTGCAGAACCGGATCGACCCGTCAGCAGCAAGGGGAACGTTTCACGTAAACCCAAACGCCGGCGTCTGGTGGAGCCAAGCGCCAGCTTCGTTCCCGCCTCCTGCCTGCAGACTTTTCCTCTGGGGAACTGGGTGGAAGCCCCCTCCTCATCTTCATCATCAGCCCCCTCCTCCTCCTCCTCCTCCCACTCGCCACAGTCCATCCTCATGTGGAGGCAGGCCCAGACAAAGGCTCCGCCCTCCCCCTCACCTGCCGCAGCGTCCGGCTCCGACTCTCTGACCTTCCTCACCGATGAGGAGAGAAGATGGCTGAACGGCGAGGACTTCTCACCAGGTGAGAAAGCACTTCCTGTTCAGACTCTGAGCTCTGACGCAGGCAGCTGGTTTCTGATTGGTCGTTTCTGCCGCAGCAGTGGCGGCGGAGCAGATCGTCATCAGCGACGATGAAGAGGCGGTGGTCCGCTCGCTGCAGCTGGAGGCAGATGAGGCTCTGGCTCGAAGCCTACAGGTAGGAGCTTCATCCCAACACGGACAGCTCACCTGAGCAGGTGGGACCAACTTCCTGTTTGTGTCTGCAGGCTCAGTTTGATCAGGAGGAGTCACACAGCAGATATCATCATCATTTTCATCATCATCATCATCAGAGCGACCCGACTGTGAGACAAATGCTGATGTGTTTTTTTAAAAGCAGATACAATTTAAAACTGTTCCTGTTGGATCGGGTGGTTCTGGGTGGTTCTCAGGAGGTTCTGGTTCTAGTTTCAGTTTTACTCGAGGCCCAGTTGGATGTCCCAGGTTCTGGCTTCTGTCTCTCCTCTGGTGAGCCTGGAGGACGGTAAGACCTTCGTTCATCACTCAGAGCTCTCCTGTAGTCTGATGGCGTCTTATCAGCTTGTCGGTGTTTCCTCCATTGATATATATTACTGGAGTGGGCGTGGCTAGCACTGATATATATTACTGGAGTGGGCGTGGCTAGCACTGATACATATTACTGGAGTGGGCGTGGCTTGTATTGATATATTGATATACTGTATATACACTGCTCAAAAAAATAAAGGGAACACTAAAACAACGCACGCTAACTCCATTGAGGAGCTTCAACAAAATGAATGGAGGTCAGTGGACTGTGAGGCGTCTTCCTGATGAAAAACTCTTATAAATTTATTATTTCTTATTGATTTTTACAAACTGTGGTTCAAAATGAAGCTGTGGAAATTGTTGTAACAAAGTATTTAAGATAAGATAAAACTTTATTGATCCAGCTGTGGGAAAATTTGCACATTACTGCAGCTCAATACAGGAGAGGGTGAGAAGAATAAAAAAGATGAATAAAAGAAAAACAAAAAACACAATACACGTGATATTATATAATAATGTACATATACCAATGCACATGTACATAAACACATGCATATACATATATACTGTATAGTACAGTGAATGTGTATTAAGGTACATATTTGTATAAATTATATATTATGTTATTATATATATTACAATATATTTTTATTATAGTATATATTTTATATTATTATTATATGCATATATTTGTACCATTTGTTTGTTTATAAAGTGTTTGTTTTCACTGCGCTACATTCTGCTCATTGATTTCAGTGGTTAGCTTTAGCATTAGCTTATTGTATAAAAATCCCCCTTGTGAAGCCACGCCCAGGTCATGTGACGCCCAATCCAGTAATTTATATCCATGGTTTGCACAGATCTGATTGGTCAGGCCAGGCGATGGGGGCGGGGCAGAAGGAGGAACAACTCACCAGAGTTTTCAGACGATCTTCAGGGAAACAACTACGAGGTGAGGAAGAGCCCTGAGTGTCAACTCTTCTTCTTCTCAGTTTAAACTCAGTTTGTCGTTTGGTTCTGATGAAAAGAACCGCAGGTCCGGTTTAAACCCAGCAGAACCTGCTCACACGTGTCCTCTGGGTTCTCTCAGGCTCTCCTGGACTTCGAGGAGCGTCAGGGCGCCGTCGTGTCCAAGAAGATGTCCCGCAGGGAAATCCAGAGGTTTCCCACCAAAACCTTCCGCTCTGCGACCAGCGGGAACCCGCAGTGAGTCCGGCAGCGGCTCGGGTCAGAACCGAACCTCTGCGTCTGAGACGAGAGTTTAATGTCCCGCTCTGTGATTGACAGGTGTCAGATCTGTTTCTGTGACTACGCTGACGGAGAGAAGCTGAGGATGCTGCCCTGTTTCCATGACTACCACATGGGGTGCATCGACCGGTGGCTGAAGGTACGAGCCTGCACCTGAACCTGAACCAGAACCAGAACCAGAACCTGCAGAGGAAAGCAGGGAGATCTGGACCTTTCTGAACCTGAATCTTCAGGGTCTTCAGGAATCGCCTCTTTGCCACAGACCTTCTGTACTGTTTATGCTTCTTACAGGTGCTTTCTGCTATATTCAGATATTTGCTACAAATGTAGCTAAATTTGAGCTGTTATTAGCTAAAGTTGGCTTTTTAAGCTAAACACAGGTTTTTTTGTTGATATTAGAACTTTTTTCTGCTAAATTCAGCAAACTTGTGTTTCTTATGCTTCCTTATGTTAATTAAAGAATGTCCGGCTACATTTTAGCTGTTTAACTGAAAACTTCGGTTGTTTTAGCAATTTTACAAAAAAAAAATCACTTTTATTACTATTATTCTTCTTTCTCTGCTAATTTTACATTTTTTACAACATTTATACCATCTGGATGCTAATTTCAACTTATGGCTGCTAGCTGTTAGCTTTTATGCTAATTTTAGCTGTTTTCTGCTATTTCAGCTGTAGTTCTTTTTTCTACTTTTCCTATGCTATTTTCTGCTTTTTTTCTGCAAGTTTGTGTTGTTTGCTTCTTACAGTTTTTTCCTGCTATATTCAGCTATTTGCTACACATTTAGCTAAATTTTAGCTGTAATTAGCTAAAATGAGCTTTTTAAAGCTAAATACACATTTTCTGTAGATATTAGAACTTATTTCTACTAAGTTCATGGTCTAGATCTAGGAGCTAACGCTAAAAACATCTGTTCCAACAATGGTTCTGATAAAGTTCTGGTTCTGTTTATCGGGTTGGGTTTTTCAGCTGCTTGTTTTCTGTTCAGAGTGAGACCTCTGGCTGTGAGGAACATCTCTGTTCTGTGTTTACAGGACAACAACACCTGTCCCATCTGCAGAGTTAAACTGTCAGACGAGGGCTTGCTGACCCCCACGTCCCTCTGACAGCACGACTCAGCGTTTTACAGCACGACTCAGCCTTTTACAGCACGACTCAGCGTTTTAAAGATCGACTCAGCGTTTTAAAGATCGACTCGGCGTTTTACAACATGACTCGGCATTTTACAACATGACTCGGTGTCTCTGTTATTAATGTTTTTATTCTTTCGGCACTGATGGACTCATGGTGCCGCTTCTTCAGGGCCCGGTTCTACCTCAGGTGTTACTGTTCCTCAGGACCCGGTCTGCCCCGGGTTCTGGGCCGACCCGCAGCTCTGACGCCACCTTTGGTCCAGTCCGAGGGAGAACCTCCTGCTGCTCTCTGATTGGTGGATCAGAACTTGTTCTTCAGGTCCAGTCAGGTTCTTTTTATGTTCATCTGAATTTGTTCAGATTATTCCTTTAAAAACAACAAAGCTTTGATAAAATCGACTTGTTTTTCCACAAACTGTTAAATTTGAATAAAAAGAGTTTAAAACTTTTGATGAGAATCAGTTTGGTTCTGTCGGGTCACTCAGAACCTCAGAGGGATGAGATGGGTTAAAACAAAATTAACCTGTAAAATAACTGAAGAAAGTAAACAAACAAACAAAAAAAAAACCATCTGACATTAGAGAAGAACTGAGTCGCTCCACAGGAAAGATGTTGAGAAGCCATGATGACCAGAGGGTTGAGATATGTCTGTAAGAATGATTTGTTTTTATCTTTCTTAAAATTAAGAACAAAAGAAGCAGAAGACAGATACAAAAAATATAAACATAAATTGAAATGGATTATAAGAAAATGAAGGAATATTACAGTGATTTATCAAGCAAAAGTAGTGGTGATATAAAAACATGGGGAGTAATGAAAAGTGCTTTTAAAAAGCATAAAGTATAATCAGGTATTTCACAACACTTTGTAAAAGATAAGAAACTTTATGATCGAACTGAAATAGTTATAAAGAATTTAATCATTTTTATGTTAATGTTGGTCCAAGTCTCGCTGCTCAAACACTTAAAGCTGATAATGTGACTGAAACAATCAGAAGTTGTGCAAACAGCATCTTTCCTGGTGAAACTGATGAGGAAGAAATAATTAGTATTGTAAAAAAGTTTGTGGATAAAAGATCAAAAGACTGGGTGAACACGTTATTAAGCCCTTTACATAAAAACGTTATTTATCATTTTCAACAGGAACATTTCCAAACATGAAAAAAGAAAAGGTAATTCCCATTTATAAAAATGGTGAGAAATGTATGTTTAGTAATTACAGACCAATATCCTTATTACCAGTTTTCTGAAACCTCAGAGAAGCTATTTGTGATCAGATCAGATCAATTCATCAATAAAAATATTTTAAGTAGCAGTCAGTATGGATTTAGAGCCAATAACTCTACTTCAATGGCGCTTATGGAACTGACAGAACAAATAACAAATGTTATTAATCAAAAACAATACTGTCAGTATTTGTTGAAGAAAACATTCGACACAATTGACCAGAGCATTCTCCTTGAAAAACTAAATAAATATGGGATTAGACCAGCATTAGAATGGATATCTAGTTATTTGGAAAATAGGAAAGTTTGTACAAGTCCACGATGTCAGATCTGAACACTGTAAAATTACATGTGGAGTTCCTCAGGGTTCTATACTTGGACCAAAGTTGTTTATTTTGTATGTGAATAACTTGTTTAGTGTCAGGGCTTTTCAAAAGTGTTTTATTTACAGATACTTTGTTTGGCTAAAGACAGAACGAATGTTAAACCTGCTGATTTGAGGAAACAAACACATAGCTAACCGCTAACATTGAAAGGACCGCTAAATACAGATAAAATTAAAGTTTGAATGATTTAATTACCTTTACAGAACTTGCAGGGTCCAAAATGTTACTGAAATTAGGGTTAAATGTAGATTTGGAATGATAAAAAATAAAGTTTAATTTTCAAGAATCCAGATGTGATAAAGTAGAAAAAGATAAACCCCAGAAATTACTGGAAATTTTTTTTTTTGCTATTTAAACAATATTTTATTTTCACAAAATGTTTTTTATTACATCAAAATTAAAACTGGTAAACAACACTGAACACATTAAATAAACATCTTTAGTTAATCTGCAGGTGTGTTGTGACACTTCCTGCAGCAGGTGAACCGTCTGACCACACCCCCCACAGGTAGTGAAGCAGCAGAGGCTGAGCCCTCCGACAGGTGCCTGACAGACTCGACTCGGGGCTCAGAGAACTCATCAGTAGTCGGCTCGCAGGCGTCGGTTCTCCTCTCTCAGCTTCTTGATCTCCTCCACCAGAGACTCGTTGACTGAATATTTCTCTAACAGACCGTGGATCTCCGTCTGAAACACACACACACACACACACACACACACACACACACACACACACACACGTCACCCAATCTGAGCAGAACCTGATAAAAAGCAGAACCAACAAGGTGTTCTTGTTTCTGAACCAAACAAAGCCTCGGTACCAGCTGGATGTAGAACTGTCGGATCATCTCCACCTGCAGGTTGACGATGTCCAGGTGACAGGAGGTTCTGGACACAAAAACTATTTTTAACTTTAATGAAACAAACTTTTTTTAAAGTTCATCTGATGCTTTTATTTTGAAATGTTCCTTTACTTTTCATAACATTTTAATCTGCAGCCTTTAACGTTAAATCAAGAGTAAAAAAATGAAAATTTAGAAGTTTAAAAAGTTGTTTTTATGAATAATATCTTGAAATGTAATAAAACTTAGAAAAAAAAAATCTGGAAGCAGTTTTCTGAGCAGAGTCTTGGTTCTGGATCTTAGACCTGACTCCTCAGGTAGGTGGGGTCTGACGAACCTGAACTCCTCCAGGGTCTCGTGGATCATGTTCTGGATGAAGTGGGTCTGCAGGGGCGTCAGTGGGGTGGCTCCGCCCTGTCCCACCACGTCTGCGATGTTCTGGGACAGTGAGGACACGGCCGCCGCCGCCGCAGCTGGACCTGAAGCTTCAAACAGAACCGGGACATCAGAGACTCCAGGACCAGGACCTGACCTGCTGTCACCATGGAAACAGGGCTGTACCTGCTGCGGTGGGGGGCGGAGTCGTGAAGACAGGTGAGTCGTAGCTCAGCTGGGACTGGACGCCGTTCGCTCTGCAGAGGCTGGGCTCGGGGGTTAAGAAGGGTGGGGCCGGCTGATACTGATTGGTTTGTTGGGATGTGATGGGCGGAGTCTGAGCCTCGCCCTCCAGACCGGACCCACCGGACTGTCGGACCACAAAGAAAAAATTACTTTAACTTCAGTTCAGATGTTGGACTTCCTGTCAGGGGTCAAAGGTCATCACCTTTTCAGGCTCAGCGCTGATTGGCTCCTCCTCCCTGATCGGAGGCGGGGACTGGAAGACGGACAGGTGGCTGTAGCTCCGCCCTGCAGACGCCCCCAGAGGTGTCCTCCACTGGGATCCTGGACCTGAGTCTGAGAAACCACCACACCTGTCAGCAGACTTTTAAAGTAACTAAGTACAAATACTTTGTTACTGTCCTTAAGTAGAATTTTTGTGTATCTGTACTTTACTTGAGTAATTATTTTTCAGCATACTTTTTACTTCTACTTCTTACATTTTTTTAAAAAGACAAGAAGTAGAAAGTTGTTACTTTTATTTCATTCCAGCTTGTTATTGTAAAAAATAAATACTATCCAAATCAATACTTTTACTTTTAATACTTAAGTACAAAAATATCAGATACTTTAAGACTTTTACTCAAGTAATATTCCTAAAGGAGACGTTAACTTTTACCAAAGTAAGTTTTTATAAGATATTTGTAGTTTTACTCAAGTATCACTTTGTGCTACTTTATACAACACTGCCTGTCTCCATGACAACGAACAAACACCTCAGTTACCAGCAGAACCTGGAGGTCCTAAAAGCTGCTGGGTCAGGTTAGACCTGTCCAGGTGTCTCTCTGATGGACAGAAACCTGTCCAGGTGTCTCTGTGTTGGACAGAAACCTGTCCAGGTGTCTCTGTGATGGACAGAAACCTGTCCAGGTGTCTCTGTGTTGGACAGAAACCTGTCCAGGTGTCTCTCTCTGATGGACAGAAACCTGTCCAGGTGTCTCTCTGATGGACAGAAACCTGTCCAGGTGTCTCTGTGTTGGACAGAAACCTGTCCAGTTGTCTCTCTGATGGACAGAAACCTGTCCAGTTGTGTTTAATCAGACCTTGTTGAACAAACGTGTCACCACCAGTGAAAGTTTGAGACAAAGTTCTGACCTTCTCGGACCGGGGAGAAGATGTCCAGACTTCCACGTCCAACCAGGTGCTGTCCCTCCCCCTCCCTGGACATCAGGTCCAAACCTGAAACTGTGGAAACACAGAAACACCACCAGTCCAGAACCAGACACACCGTTTAAAGATTTAATGTTCCTGTGAGACAGACGCGACTTCCTGTCTGACCATTGGTTCTCCCAAACGGGGTCTCTCCGGTCTTACCCTGGTTCCCCGGGTCTGGACCTGAAACGATATCAGAACAGAACCAACAGAGAGACACGAGAGACAGAATGATGACAAGGATAGTTTTAGTTTTTATTTTAGACAAAAATCTTTAGAAAAAGAAAAAAAATCTCCAGAGGAGCTCCCCCTGGTGGCCATCAAACAGGAAGCAGTTTATAATTTAATTAAACTCAATATTTAATGATATTTTACATATTTTAATTTCAAAGAGTTCTTTTTATTTAACTTTTCTAAATGAGGCCTTTTAAAAATTAATTCTGGTTTCAGACCTTCACGAGTCGGAGAGAAGATATCCAGACTGTTTCGTCCCACACTGCTGAACTTCTCCACAGGAGGGAGAGGCTCCTCCCCCTGCTGGACCTGAGCCTCAACACTGGCGCCTCCTGCTGGACACACAACTGCACTTATAGAAACATTTTAAAATCTGGACTAAAAAATGGATTTTTGTTTAAAGACAGAAAACCTTTTTTATTTATTGAAATTTACAGGTAATATGAAGGATGATAGTAAGAGTTCTTGTTGTTTGTTGTAGTCCAAAGTGTTTATTTATTTATTTATTTTATTGTGTTTAAAATCAAGATCAAATTTTTTTGACTGAAGGATTTTTATTTTTCTCATCATTTTCCAGAGTTTGTTTTATTTTCATGTTTCTGCTGTAAAGGTCTGTCTGAAGCTGTGTTTGTGTCTGCAACATGATACGACCCACCTGTGCTGGTCACCTGCTGGTGTGGGGCGGGGCCAGTGCTGGAGGCGGAGTCAGAGTGGCTGCTGGGCAGTTTGGAACTGATTCTTTTTGAACTTGAGATTTTGGTGGGTCCCAGTTTACTGGACTGAGGTGGACAAAGATAAAGACAGGATGTTGTTGTTAAAACAAACATTATGTTTTAAATTTGTTGTTATAAATAAATAAATAATAAATAAATAAATAAATAAATAATGCCCGCTCAGTCCTACAGCCTGATGGTACCTTGTGTCGGCTGGTGTTGCTCTGGAAACGCAGGCAGGTGACGGAGGTCTTGTGGGCCACGGTGGTCTTGGTGGGGGTGCTGGTGTTCCTCAGGTCGTACTGGTAGATCTTCCCCTGAGTGGAGCCGACCACCAGACCGGTACCGTCCAACATGAAGTCCACGCAGGTGAGAGGACTCTCCACACGGATCGTCCTCAGGACTCTGCAGAGACAGACAGGTTTTCATCATTCTTTACAAAATTATTTTACTGAAGTTTAAAAGATGCTAAAATTATTTATTGTTAACCTGCAGCTTCAATTCTACAAACACACAAACCTGACAGGAAGTGGACTAAAGTCTTGTGTCCTGACAGGAAGTGGCCTCAGTTCTGAAACAGGAAGTGGACTAAAGTCTTGTGTCCTGACAGGAAGTGGACTAAAGTCTTGTGTCCTGACAGGAAGTGGACTAAAGTCTTTTACCTCTGACAGGAAGTGGACTAAAGTCTTGTACCTCTGACAGGAAGTGGACTAAAGTCTTGTGTCCTGACAGGAAGTGGACTTAAGTCTTTTACCTCTGACAGGAAGTGGACTAAAGTCTTGTACCTCTGAGGAAGTGGACTAAAGTCTTGTGTCCTGACAGGAAGTGGACTAAAGTCTTGTACCCCTGACAGGAAGTGGACTAAAGTCTTGTGTCCTGACAGGAAGTGGACTAAAGTCTTTTACCTCTGACAGGAAGTGGACTAAAGTCTTGTACCTCTGA